ACTTCGCCTATGTTTACCGGATTTTAATACGCGATTTATTATTCATTTCCATACGTACAAATATTTGTCCTCATATTTTGATAACGATAATGACGACGGTTTGTTCGAGCAAGAAAATGTGAAACAGTTAAACCTGTCTGTCGAAAATAAACGGATATATAATTTATTTCTTGATTTAGCCACTTGGGTTCTTACGCTTTTGATAAGCACTAAATTGTGTTACGGAATGCATCAAACTAATCAAAACGTTGTATCACTTTGGACATTTCGGGAAGCACTCAAAATTTGAAGTCATTTACGTATGAGAAAGAGAAATTTCTAAAACAATTAATGAATGACTAGATTACGGAGCTAAAAACACACAATATGAATGAATGGTTCCAATTAAAAATTAGATTTCATAAAACAGAATTTTAAAGGTGCTCAGTCGAAAATAGTTGTAGTTTCATATTGCTTTTGTGACATTTTCTAATTATCATTTTTGTTAAAACTAATTTTTTTTTCTAAACAGAACTACGAATTAATTTTATATTTTTTTTGTATTTTTTTTTAGTTTGGCGAACGCGGTTATGTTGGTGTATGTGTTATTAAAACAAGATACATCGGAATTTGCAAAAAATATAAGAAATGTAATTAAGAATTGTGCACAACAATAATTAAGCGTTCCGAGAGATGTCTTTTAGTGCAAGTGGTATTGCAGATAGGTATTTTCAAAGGTTATGTACGGGATGGCCCTCTGTCCTTATATTTCGAAAGATATTCGATTTACAGAAAAAAGTGTTTCTGTTTTAGATTCACAAGGACTTTTAAAATTCAAATGATATGCCTTGTATTCCATTTTGGTTATTGATACTTTGTGTCACTGTCCTTTTTTGTTTGGAGACACTAGTATAATATAATTTCATTTGTTTAGTTCGGTTTCGACTTGTTAATGCCACAAAATAATCCACCGCATAGTTCTAGAAATACGAAGTATAACGTATTTTTATGACAATGTAAACTATTGATATTTTTTTGTGAAGAATCAGAATTTTTAATAATATATATGGGATTCGATTTAAAATAATAAACTCTTAGTTGATTTTATGACATCACCTTGTTTAATTTATAGTCGAACTAAATAGCTGATGTTATTTTATGGTATTATATATAAAATAAAAAGGCAGTTTGACAAAATAGTAAAACGTATAATATAAAATTTACTTTACAAACAAAAACACATGGGTCACACTCTACATTCGAAGTAATTAAATGACGTCGTCATATTATCGACTTTAAAGTTTAAAGTTAAGTCCGAATTCGTGGGAAATTGTTGTTAAGAGTCGTCGGTACAAAATCAGAAGCAAATTAATATTGTATTTTCTACATGAATAGAAAAAGCAAGGCCGTTCCTCTAATTCTTCGATTTGACACGACCATTTTTCACAGATTAAACAAATAGGACATGAAAGCGGCATCGTGCGGCAAATTTTGCGTGCAGTTTACTTTTAAAAACGTGCAATTTGCATTTAATAGAAATGTCACGAGTTTCCCTTTTGTTCGGTACCGCGAACCTAATGTTGGGCCGTGCCTAACCCGATCGGTTAATGAATCGTTTGATTTTCACCTGGGAAAAATATTACCATATTAAGTATTACACGAATACTTTTTGGTAAGTGACCAGTGATGTAAAACGGGCGTTTTCTGGGTAATTTTGGGTTAGACAATGTTTATTATAAGGAAATGAACTAAACTAAAAGACGGTGAACAATGGGATCTCTTTTTGAAGAATTTTTATTAAATTCACATATGCCTGATAAAAGTGTGTCCTAACTTTTATATGCCTTTAATTTCTGAGGTTTCTGAGAAGTCATCTGTTAAGAATCATTCCATATATTTTAATATAAGCGACAGAATAATCCTTGCGGTGATTACTGACTCCTCACTTAATTGGCAGGTTCACTTATACTCTCTGTGATTAAGCCTGAACAGTTTTTGTTCACTGATTCGCAGACTTAGAAAGTTGCTTTTCATAGTTAGCATTAGAGCTATCTATTTTGCATGTGAGATACTATTTTGGGGGTTTTTTCCAAGCATGCAATCAACGCTTTCAAAAGCCAGAAAAGAATTATTACGTGTATTCTTAAACTGCACTTCTTGCAAATGGCATTTTCATACTCTGGGCATCTTTACAGTTCCTTCTAAGTATTATATGTCACTGGTTATATTTGTGAAGAAAAATCTAAGTCAATGAGGAATATTACTAGCAACTATTTTTTCCAAATATATCCATATTACCGGAAGGCAAAGGCAAAGATTGCTTTGTCTAGCAGCATAGTTGGGGTTGAAGACAGAGAGAAATTTAAATTAGAGGGAACCCATTCTTACAGCACAAATGTCTTTATCCTTTTAACTTTGAATTTTACTGAGTATGAATTTTTCCTATTTTTATCTATTTAATTGTTTATAACCTTGCATATTTTCATTTACAATAGGCCAAGTCATGTTTCGGTTGCGTTTCTTTCCCATTTGATATGATTTTGTGGGAAATTATTATTATTTCTTGATAAAAATAATGCAATTAAAAGATTCAATGAACCCTCACATAAAGCAAGAAATTCATCATAGAAAACAATTTTATAGAGGCAAAAAATAATTTAAAAAAAACAGCAAGCGCGTTCCTTTTCAGAGATTATTTATTTAACGAATGAGTAAAACCCTCACATAAAGCAAGAAATTCATCATAGAAAACAATTTTATAGAGGCAAAAAATAATTTAAAAAAACAGCAAGCGCGTTCCTTTTCAGAGATTATTTATTTAACGAATGAGTAAAGTTTGAAAGAAATATTGGAAAATTTAATCTTTCTTTCTCTCTCTCTCTCTCTCTCTCTCTCTCTCTCTCTCTCTCTCTCTTTCTCTTTCTCTTGTATTAGCTTGGAGCTTGCTGATCACCATGGCTACCTCCACTTTTGATACTGCTGAACTCAAGTTTGTATTCGAGTATTTCGAGTTCTTTGCCCATTCTTCCTAGCACTTCCTCGTTTGTAGTCCACATTTCAAAAGCTTCCAACCTCCTTTTGGTTTCTCCATTCAGCGTCCAGCCTTCCAAGCCATAAAGCAACACGGGAAATACATAGCATTGGACCATTTTTGTTCTTACTGTTAGTGATAGATCCGGAGACGTCAATGGTTTTTTCATTTTTATGAAGGTGCCAAGCTATTTGTATTGTCTTTATTGTTCAATTGTTTTCCCGTCTACGATCATCATCACTTTAGTCTTGTTCACTACTTTGTTTAATAGTCTCTGTAAATCCTCGAGAGAGCTCACACACAAAACAGTGTCGTCAGCATACTTAATATTATTAAGGATTTTCTCACTTATTGCTATCTATCTAAAATTTAATACAATGTCTAATCCGAAATTATTGGAAGGCGAACAATATTTTAGGTAACTCTAACACCCTGTTTATAGCTTTACTCGCTAAAAGGCAAAGTAGCTATTTTTCCAAAAATATTGTACATGTGTTTCTCCAATCAGTAGTTTCTCAACGAGGTAAATTTATCCCAGAGACATTTTGTTTGTGCTAAAGTTATTAATTAATTGCATTATCGGCGTTCCCAGAATTAATGACTGGTTGTAACGAATTTAATGAATTCCTTTAAGCGGAGAGAATTTTGATTCAATTGAATTTAAATTTATTAATTTCCAATTTAAACGCAAATAAATCAATTGCAGATTTAGGTAAAACTCCTTGCGCTCTTTAATAGCATCGCAACGATAATAATAAAGCGTTTATATAGAAGAATTAGGTACGATATCGTGCTAAATATTAGATATTAACCGAAATTTCCTAAAAGAAATATATGCGGTACTCTAAAAATAAAAAAAATACAGGGTAATATATTTTTAAATTAAATCTTGATTTCCTTCCAAGATATATTCCATCATCGAAATGGCTCCGAATCGAATGCCGTCGTATATATCTTAAAGAGGAACTGTCATTGTTTCTATTAAATATCTCTTTTTTACGCACTTCTTCAATGACCTTTTGAATATAATTGAGATTACTTCGTCAATACTTAAGTTTATTTAACAAGATTTATCTTTCTAAATTTTTTGGAATCTTTTCCCTTCTCTTTCGTTCTAAATACAAAAGAATTCCAGAATGCAAGGCAAAGGAAACTTTTATTAAATGAATATTAGGTTGTTACTTGGGTACAAATTTCAATTCTCGAAGTAACTGATGCTCTATTTCATTAATTTCATGATAATTTGAGTTATTTGTTAACATTTCTGATTTCGAATTATTTAACATTTAACAAACAAAAATCCGTGCGTTTTTTTATATATGCTGTAACTTCAAGCAAAATCGAAAAGTACAAAAACCTATTGAATTAGTTCATAGTATGTTATCTCAGTCCGTTTTGCCTGCCTCTAACTAATTTGTTAATTAAAGGCAATTTAGTTGAACTTCCACAAGAGTACAAAACGTAACCAAAATAAATATAACTTAGCTAATTGGATCAATATCAAATGTTTCTTCCAAAGCCTATATGAGAAAGGAAAATCGCCCTTTTTCGATATCAAAGTCATTATCATCATTACCGCTATCATTATTATCAACAATGGCAATCGTGATAAGAGTACATATGCCCTTTTATGTCGCAAGAATCTACGAATTCTGAGTCTAAGTTCAATAATTCAAATTTAAGTCGGTATAGAAAAACGTTCAATTTCAAAATTTTTATTTTCATTGCATTTGGCGCAATCACTGTTGACCTCAAAAAACTTCATCTTTTTGAGGGAATAATCCTCTGTATGTGTAAAATAACCCATTTTCGTATCGATTTTTTATTATTTCAGTAGTAACTTTCGGTTTCTTAATACCTTTTATGCTTTATTTAATTATTCATTTTATTTACTTATCTCCTAACTTTATTATTATTAAAAGGAAATGAAAAGATAATATTAGGAATAAAATCGTTACTGTGTGACTCCCTTTCTGAGTTCTACACTTACTTTAGGTCGCCGGGAAACTTTGAAAATCACTGAAAAAACAACAAAACTTTTCCGCGTGTGTCGATCGAGACGCGTACGCTGGCGTATCGAAGAAAAGTCGTCGCGGAAAAGTGTGGTCGAGTCTGCTCGGATTTTCCGACTCTACTGAGATTCTCAATTTTCATACCCACGCGGAGTTGAGGTGAACGGAGGGGAGGAATTGGCGTGACTCTAAGGGTCACAGTTTATAGTAGCGCTGTACATGCATTATAAAGCCTCTAAGTTTAATGTTATCGCATTATTGAATGTTCGTCGAATAATGCGTCCGCGTTGGGTCGTATTACGACTAATGTTCACGGTTTTGCGGCTTTTTGCGTAGTTACTGTGACTTGCCGACACGGGCGTAATCAGATTTCAGAGAGCGCAGACTATCCACGGAACTGAATAAGTTTAACGCCTGGGATGATGAATTTCTGTTTACTCGAGTGATTGATCGACGAACGTGCGCTAAGATCCTTCTGCAAAATCATTTAGCAAAATAAGGGGAGAGATTTGAAGAGTTTGTCGAATATGTTATGTAGGAGGAGACTCGGGGTTTAGAGTATAATTTAGAGTTTCAATTTTGGTTTTTTTAAATTAAATTTTCTCTTATCTTTACTTTACAGCAGTTAATATAACTTTTCGGATTTTTGAAACAATTTGGACCCACGAAAACTAATAGTAACCTAAATAATCAATAATAACTAAACGAACACAATTTTGGTTACCTTTCCCAAAATCTATAGATTTTAGATAGATTTTTCGATTTTTCAGTTTCAATGTATCAATTTGAAATTTGGATTATTACATTTTTGTTTGATCACTTAAACTCAAAACCTCTAATTAGATTTTAGCGCAGGTTCATGTCATAGAATGTGTAAAGTAAGAAGAGGAGCTTTAGGTATTGTCCATAAACTGCAGAAATATTATACTAAGCAAGTGCTGCCTTTATAGAAGATAGGGAGATAAGTAAACAGGAAGGTATTTTTCTGTAAGAAAAATGTATAATTAACACCAACTTCACGAAAGTACTCGACTAGGTTTCAAATTTATAATACAAAACATGTAAGTATAAGCTTTGGACTAGAACATTGCCACCGAAATGGCAAAGTACCAAAACTTGTATTAAGTTAAAAATTATCTTGTGACTTGTCGCATATACTTTCTGAGCTTTAGAATAGCCGCAATTGTTTCTGACCACCTATAAAAAACTTGGGTTAATATAGATCACTAATTTTGAAATATAGCAATGCTTTAATACTTTCTTAATTGCTTTGACTCGTGAGTTATTCGTAAAAACAATTAACTTTCTTAATAGAATTACTGAAAAAGTTAACGGAAAATCAAACTTTATTTTATAAACTGTAGGTCTATTGAATTGTAGTTTGCAGATAATCCGTAAATTCTTTAAATTCCAATTAACACTGATGCTTAATTCTATAATTTAATTAATTTAAAAGATAATCCTTCAAATTTTATAAAAATTGCCTGACATTAAATTTTTAATATGAAATTTCTACCTGACTATATATAATACATATTTTTTAATTCTCAAAAATTAACCTAAACTAAAACCAATCCAAGTGTTTTTTAGAAGATAACTTTATTTAGATGTTTATTAGATTAGATAGAACATTTTTTATTTTATTCTGTCAACATATTTTTCGATTAACTGGGATTGAGTACAACATATCATAATGGAGTTTAATTAAATGACGTCGTGTATGATATCCCATGTATTAACCAATCCTGCACCGTTTAAGTTCGATTGGTATGTTACTATCCTAATTAGTAATTATTGATTATTTAATTTGGGTTTCAATCGGAAAACATATGCCGATTCCGTAGCGCCATCTATCTGAGGGAAAACAAAGCATTTATTTTGCGCCGAGATTCTTAAATATTTTTTATTCAGCAGTCTGTCGTATTAATTTTACATGCATATTTTATTTAATCTATACCTATGTTATTATAACACTGAAACATCATCTATGAAATCATTATTAATTCCAACATTGGAGTTTGTTGTTCAACCACCTGCAAAAAAAATTCAAGTCGTAAAAAACCAACTGCAAATCATTCATTTAATCGCAATCTCTGCAACATCTACAAGTTTTCTTCTTCAAGCTTCTTAGGGTATTTTTTAACACCGGATCTGCACTGCTATTGTTCAGAACGGTGTCTAGGTTCATGTTAGAAATATTATTTCGTTTCTCGTATTTCTAAAATCAAAAGTGTTATTAGACATAAACATTTACGAAAAGATTATTACATTGAATTTTTTTTTTAACAGATACACTGTTAGAGGCTCTTGCTCATATAATATTAACAGTTGATTTAAAGTTTTTAGGAATACTTACAAAAAATAGGTACTGATATATTTTTTTTAGATTTCTAGCATTTTTAATAGTAAATGAAATACATTCAATTTTATCGCTTTTTTAGTGGATGCAATAGTGCGATGGGCTGATTACACAGGTCTACAGTGATTTTGATGTTTGAAAGCTGTTTGCTTACTTACATATTTTTGGGGACCCTTTTTCCAAAAAACACCCTATTTTTGCTCTATCATGTCTTTTTTTTTATAGCGCTCTATAAGTTAAAAATGTTATATTATTAATATACATACCTATGATATAAATATGTTCGGCATAATTTTTAAATGAATTGATTTTTATGAAATTAAATGTTATTTGCCAACACTGGATAATTTTAGATTTCTCTGCAAAGCAACAGAGTTTGCGCAGAAGCGTCAATACAGCGTTGTAACCTGCTTATGCGCACTTTGGTTGTACTGGTCATCGAGCTACTGTGTTCGCGACTGCTCTTTTCGTTGTTGCGAATGTCTAGTGCTCTAGTTCGTATAAATATGGAAAGAAGGGATTGTGTGAACAATCCAAATAGCTTTTGTTATATTTATGGTAGTTATGTCCTAGTAAAGAAAGGCAAATTACAAATTATTTTGTGAAAAATATATACCACGCTTATTTTTGTGTAAAAATAGGCGACCAAGACAAGTCCTGGGCTGCTCATACCGTTTGTTCCGCTTGCGTTGAAGCATTAAGACACTGGCAAAAAGGTAGGAACAAATGTTTAAGCTTTGGTGTTGTTATAGTATGTTCAAGTATTCAACAGAAAAAATAAGAAACAAATTGTGTATCTCAACCTTGACTCTGCTATGCCGATACCTACCGCCTCAAAAGAACTAGAAAACGTCATATCGTCAGAATCAGAGTAATCTAATTCAAACCCAGATGACTCCACAACAGATTAAATTATTTAATTAGAGATTTACACGTTGCAAAGGATGCATCCGAATCGTTAGCATCCAAACATGGTGACAAGCATTTACTAGCACCTGGCGTCACATCAAGCTTTTACCGGGATCGCGAAAAAACCGTTAGAATTATGAAATGTGCCATAAATAAAAGAGGAATGGCTCCTATTTATTGACTCAAGTAAACTTAGTTTAAAAAACGTTTTATTGCACAATACTTACGAACTCACCTAGGTTCTCATTGCGCTTTTGGTACATGTAAAGGAAACCTATGAAAATTTAGGACATCGTTTGAAGAAAAAACTCCCAAGAACATCAGTGAGTGAGTAGAATAGTCGGGCAAGAAAATGGGCTCTAGAACAAGCCTTACATCGCTAGTAAAAATTTATTAGGAATTAGCTTAGTTGACCCCAAAAAAGTTTTACCGCCTCCTCTTCATATCTTACTTGGCATGATGAAGCAGTTTGTTAAACACCTACACAAAAATGGACAGCGTTTCAAATATTTGTGCGAGAAATTTTCAGCCATATCTGATGCCAAGATAAAAGAAAGAAATTTGTATTTTTGTTGGGCCGCAGATAAGAACATTATGCAAAGAAAAGGATTTTTAAAACACAATGACCAATGTCGAGAAAAAAATTGATAAGTTTCTTGGAAACTCTAAGGACGAAAACTACGAAAGTATTGCTCAAAATATGTTACATTTTCATCGTGTAGGTTGAAAGTGCATTTCCTGTCTTCACACTTGAATTATTTCCTCTTGTATCAGTTAGCGAAGAACAAGTAGAGAGGTTTCACCAGGACATTACCGAAGCATATGGAGCGTAACGATGATGGCGGACTACTGCTGGATGTTAAAACGGGATATGCCCTTAAAAACACGCAGCCGAATGTCTGGATAACGCCGGCAAAAAGAAGCTTTCACTCAAAATAGTCTGAGTAAAGTTTTTGTTTTTCACGTTTTTTAATTAGAATTCCACTTTTTTACTGAATAAAAAAATAAATTATTTTAGAAATATCGGTTCTTCCTTCCCTTAATATTTGCAAAAAAAACCTTACGTGATACAAATAAATGCATAGAATTATTGAAATCATACTACCAAAATTATATAAAATAAATTTTCGAAATAAAACCGTCTGTCAAAAAGTTTAATTTTGTAGACCTGTGTAATTACTCCTCGATAAGATGTCTTACCGCTATAACTACTTCGATGGGAATCGTGCATCGACCTTTACTTTTAGCTATTTCTATTACTTCACGGGCGTACTCAAAGAATCTATCGTCCTCACTAGAAATCATTTTGTCAAAAGCTTGCTCTAATTCCAGTTCCTCAGCCTTGGATGCTCTTTCTGCAGCCTGAAGGCAAAATTAATTATACAACTCTAATAAAGGGAAAACAATTGAAATAGGTATTTCTTTTATTAAGGAAATATTATGCTTACAACATACCATTTGTTCCATAAGTTCTTTTCTATAATTCAAAACTTGTTCCCACTTCTCTCTTTGCTGAGCTTGGTCGTACTTTTTCATCATCTCATCACATTTGTATCTGTTCAGCATTTCCCATTTTTTGAGTTCTCTCTCTTTTGCAAGTCGCACTTTTTCCCTCTCTAAAACTTCTAGACGATTTTTAATTTGATCTTCTCTGAGTTTTTTTTCAAACTCTGCCCTCGCTTTCACAATCTCCATTTCCCTGACAGAGATGGATGAAGTGTCTTTTTTTGGTACTTTAGTTTTTCTATATTACTTTGTGCCCAAAAGTATGGAAATAATTTTGCGGAATACATTTCAAAACATTGAAATATAAGTTCGTGTTTGAGGTTGGTATTCATTCTTTTAACTAAGCAGAGCTGACTGTGAAGTAATAAATTTTTTAAAATATATTAAACAAATTTTCTTGCTTTTGTAGTTTTCGAGAGACAAATTGATATCTCCTCACATTTTAGGCACGGTGTAAAAAGACATGGGTACATACTTCCCTTCCATTTGCTTAATAGCAGACTGAATCGCTTTCTCTTCTGCTTCACTTCTATCCTTTTCTGCAGCATATACTAACTTCACCACTTTTTCTCTTCTTTTCAGTATTGTTTCTTGCAACTGAAAACAGACAATTCTATGATTTGCTGAATGCGCCAGTATTACGATTTTGCCACACACTGCCTGAAACTTCTGATTCTAGGAATGATAAAATTAATCTCACTTGTTTTTCCTTCTCTTTCTTCATGCACTCGATGCGATGTTTTGCATCCCTATAAATCTTGACCACCTCATCCAACTCTTTGTCTTCAATAGCCATCTGTTTTTTCTTTTCCGATTCCTTTTCCAGCAGTAATTTTCTTTCTAGGTGTAACTTCTTCTTCCTAGCCATTTTCTAGAAAATACGGTTAACTGTCATTCTAAATTTAAATGTTATTTGTCGGTATAGATTGATACTTGCTTCCTTGGTATTCAAATCTTCGAGCATTTTAGTTTCTTCGAAGGCTGCTTCGTTTTCTAGCGCCTCTTGCTTGACTCGCTCATCTCTCATATTTTTTGCAAGATTTAGTTTTTCGTCCACCCTAAGCACATTTTATTATTTTTCAATTAACATTTTATAAGCATATTTTTCTTACATGGATTTCAGCATTTCTCCATGTGCTTTATTCTTCTCCTTTTGTTTTATTTCTTGTTCCTTTTTCGCGTTAGCCTCGATTTCCGCTTCTAAATGTATTTTTTCGTCATATTTTCTTCCTTCCTCCCTTTCATGACGCTCAATTTTATTTTGCAACTCAATTTGTTTTTCTCTTTCAAATAGAATCTCGCTAGTGATAAGTGCACTAGTTAGCTCTCTATTGGAAATTAGCAATTAATAAGTATAAAATATTATTTAAAATTTTTCAATATTAACCTGGCATCACCAGTTGACATAAATATTTGTTTCTTGACTTTCTCTGTATATTGCTTCCTAATCTGATCTTGTTCCTTCATCATCGCTAAAAATTTCTGCTCTCGGTCGTCTTTTTTATGCGCTATTGTTTTCTGACGTTCTTCTTCTTTTCTTTTCCTCATATTCTGAAAATTTTAAATATGCTTTGCTAGACTCAATATTAATTTTGTTGCCTACTTGTAACGAGTTTTCCCATCCTTTAGTCATTTGCTTGGATCCCTCCTCCAGGTATTTTTTAATCGCCTTCTCTCTTTCTAAATTTTCTTGTAAAATTTTTCGTCGGTCAAGGTGTCTCGTGATCCCATTCCAAGCAGATTCGGTGACGTGTAAAGCGTGGGCCCGTTCTGCGATTTTTGTATTTTCCAAGGTTTGGCCGGGAAGTAAGTGCCATTTTGATTCCATATCGTTTTATGGGTGCTGTCACCTAATGTGACGTGAAAACCGATTGTATGAAAACAGACAAGATATCGATGGTATTGTTGACGTATCATAGCAACGATCATGGCGCGTATTTGTGTAATAAACCCGGTAAAAATTGTAATTTTATTATATTTTTTTGCAAAATTGAAGTTTGTCATTAATTGTATCATGTTATTAATTTGGAATACAGTGAAAGTACCTTAAATTTAAGACAATTTTAACAAAATGTCCTTTATTTTTTGCACTCTAGTTTCGTTAAAGAATGAGATGTATGAGTTAGTAAATAACGACTGCGAAAAAAAGAATGTTCATGTTGAAAGAAAAAATGGAAATAGAAGTTTCCAAAACTGAAAGCGTGAATGTGGACAAGCCATATTTCTGTGCCCTACAAGTGGTGGAAATTGAAGGATACCGATATCGGAGGGTTTACAAAAGAAAATACCTTGTGTAAAAAATACGTTACCTTTAAATGAATTTCCTGCGAAGCAGCAAATAAATCAAGAAACTGTTAATGATGAAAGTTCCTTTAATTGTAATGTATCAATGTGAAGATATTTACTCCTCAGATGCAAGAGTAATGCAAAAGTAAGGTTTTGTTTTATGCAGTAAAAAAGTACAAACACCTATATGATTGAAAAATATTTTATATATTATCTTTTGCTAATGATATGTAGATTAGAAAAAAAGAGTTGCAAATCTACCAAAATGCCATACAGTGACTCACACCTTAAATGACGCAGTCACTATAACAAAAACTAACTGGTCCGAATGTCCCTCTATTTATTTGAAAAAAAAAAACAAGTTATTGAAATTAAGTTAGTAAAGAGTCTTCTAAAAAAGTGTGAATTACTTTTTTTCTTAAATATATCTTAGTTAACAATAAAGATTTAATTAAATTCTATGCAATATTGACGTCACAGCTTAAATGATGCAAAAATAATAACCGGGGTCAAAACTTATGTTTGAAATTTACGAAGGTTTTTTATTTATTATTGTACTTAATTTTTGTTTTTTCTTACATTTTAAAACATTCAGGAAAACGATTTTTTTAAATCGGTAGTCGGACTACAATTTCTGAGAGATATTTAATTATTACTCATCACAGAAATGGATACAGCCAAAGAGACAGCCAAAATGGTAAATAAATATCCATCAACTGTTCAGCATATCATTGAGCGTAACTGTAACGAAAATAGGGTTAGCTCCAAATAAGATCTTCAATGAAAGTGAGGAAAGATAGATTGTAAGAGAGGTATCGAATTATCCAAAAAAAAAGAAGAAGAATTAAAATTGAAAATTTGAAAAGCTACCGTAAAGCACTTCTATCATGACAATGATTCAAAGCACACGTCATTTCGTGTTCGCAATTGGTTGCTTCCAATCCAAATGCGGAAATTTTCGTTCGGATAATTTCAACCTTCATTTATATTTTGGGTCTTGCTGCTATATAAGTTCATTGAATTGTTAAAAAGGATTTTTTCCCAAAGCAGTTCGATTTCATTTAAAAAAAAATTTGTCTCAATAATAACAGGGCCTATAATTCTATTCCTTATTGCGCCACCCCAAACAGAAAACGAGTTGCTTATTTTTTTAGTAAACTTACGTGCTGACCTAAATGGTGCTTAATCTGTAAATAATATTTGTATTGCAAAATCTGGATCTTCGGGTATGTTTCTTAAAATTTCAAAAAATTCCAGTGTTTGCCTTGTCTGTTTCTCACTTAAATTTTTATGTATATGTGTTTTAGTATTTTAATGATATGTCATACTCTTCTACATAGATGAATTTGAAGAAATCTTCGATAAAACCAATTGCCATGTTATAAAAATTATTAAAACTAGCACAGTATTAGCCCTTTCTTCTTCTGAATATGTTATCGTAAAAATAAATAAGTTATTAATAGGTTTAAAATTTATTTATTTATTTATCAACGGGCCAACCGCCCAATATAAAATAGGATTCACACAAACAAAATAGTAAACAACGAAATAAAATAAAATAAAATAAAACAAAATTAAAACAGAATGAAATAGACAGATGAAGACCTTACCTTAATATGACATTGGTTTTCCAAAATATTAAATATTGGTTTAGTTAGTCGACACGACAGTAAGGACACTTATAAGAGTAGCGGGGCATCAATACAATGGCATACAATAGTATTCTGAGGAAAAGCGGAATAGTTTTACCGACAGTCTTTAAGTTCTTTCATAAATATTCTTGCACTCTGGAAGCAGTCAAGTTGGTAAGAAAAGCTATTCGCTAGTGCAGCTGACCTAGTAAGAGAAAAACTCTGCCCATAGTTAGTACGATGGAACTCCACCTGGAAGGAGTGGTTTATTCTGGTCTGGGGGGGTGGGGGGACGCGAAGCCCAATCTTACATAACAGCTCAGGTCCATGTGAAGTTGAATGCAGTAGATTATAAAAAATGGTGAGATCCCTCTGCATGCGACGAATCTGAAGAGTTGTAAGTTGGAGCGAGTTTTCCAATTCAGAGTAATCAACGTCCTCAAGTCCTTGGTGCTCCTTAAATGCTATATAACGCAGGAACCTATGCTCCACTCTTTCTATGGCCTGTATGTGGACGTTATACGAAGGTGACCACACACTAATCCAGGTGTGGACGCACTAGGGAGCAGAACAGTAATCTGAGAGACGGAACACTCAGGAAGTCCACTGTACAAACTTAATACTCTCATATAGAATTTTAAGTCGTTAGCAAATAATAGGAAACATGTGTGATGAAAACATGAGGCAATATAATTCACATAGACATTGAAGAGCAGGGGTCACAGGTGCGATCCTTGTGGAACACCAGAAGGAACTCTAATTTCGGTGGATTGCAAGCTCTGGACGCGCACAATCTGCACTCTTTCAGTAAGGTACGATGTTAAACATTCCAAAAGTTTTCCTTGGACTCCAATGTTTCGCAATTTTTTATTTAGATTTGATGATTTACTCGATCAAAAGCCTTTGCAAAGTCTGTGTAAATGGCATGAACGTGAGACCCCCCCTCCAATGATTCCAGCAGAAAATCTGTGAATGTGAGCAAGTTTAGCTCAGTAGAGCAATGGGGGAGGAATCCAAATTGCTGGTCGATGAAGCAACCTTTAAGGCCAGCAGATAAATAGTCGCAGACTAAACTTTCGAACACTTTAGGAATACAACTCAGGATACTGACTTGCGAGTTATCGCGGGATTTTAGGATAGGGGTAATGAAGCTTGATTTCCGTTTTTAAAGAATGGTTAAAGATTATATAAAGTGGTCTGGAAATTATGAAGCTGCTTAATAAGACATGGTGGGAGGCCATCCGGACCGGATCCTTGGTTTTTGTCTAGAGTCGTCAGTTTCTCGTAAATAGATGAAATCGAAATGTTCAAGTGTGAGAGGTTGACATCTTCAGAGACACAGTCCCCGTCACTAAACATATTCGAAAAATAGTCCGCAAATAAATTGACAATATCGTCACCCACAGAACAGGTCACGTCGCCAAAGTGCACAACCGATGGAATAAAGTTTCGTTCCTTTTTACTCTTGACGAACTTCCAAAAATTCTTAACGTTTTCTCTTAAGGACGATTCAGTCAGAGATACATATTCCTGGTAACACTGCACTTTTAAAACTTTCTATTTAGCTCTTAAGTTTGAAAATCTCTTATAATCTGCATATAACCCGGTCCCAAGATATCGTTTGTGTGATTTTTGTCAATTATTGTATCTTTAAGGTCTGGGAAAAACCAAACTGGAAACTTCTTAGCCCAAAACTTCTTTAAGGGAACGTAAATAACGATAGCTAAATAAACTATATCGTAGAATACATTGACTATATCCTCAAGGGTTCTGTTAGCAAATAACTTATCCCAATCGGACTGCGACAAAAACTCAGTCACTGCTCCCAAGTCCATTGATTTAAAATATCTATAAAAGCCGTTACCCCTTAGACCAGAACTGTACTGAATCACCTTGCAAGGAGAAAGAGAGTCTAGGGTGAAACATGATGAGTTTAGGAACTCAGTTTACATATTTTAGAAAGAGATTAGATTCACCATTTCGATGTCTTTCCTTCAATTCGTTCTATAGTGCGTACATTTCCGAGCGCTGATCATTCTAGAGTCAGGCGCAATGCCTGGAGACCATTTTTATTAAGATTTCCTATTCTCACTGCGCCAGCAACATTAATTGGGGAGCCAGTAAGATCAGATAATATGATTTTTTCGATAGAAAAATCGTCATCTTCTTTAAATTCTGGAAAGTTACGCGACCTCTTTTGCCGCTCAGACACCTCATGCAGAATTTTGCCATGGAGACCCACTGTATTGAGTTCCATGTCTGCTCGTTCATTGGTTTTCGCTGACGCCACAGAAGTGGTCTGTGTAATGACAGCTAGATCCATTTTTATGTCGTTGAAACTGCTCTGAAAACTTAATGTTAGGCTGCTTACACTAAGTGTGTCCTCGAGGGCACTGACGCGATCTCCCAAGTTAAGTCCTCTCTTAATCACTGGTATACAGTAGTTGCACAAATAGGGAATTGTACGAGTGGACAGCATCAGACATCTTCTTTCAGTGGAACCTACCCCAGAACAGCCCCTGCACAACCTCTCCAGTATTCTTCGGCTCTTTATAAACACAGTTTGTAAAACACCTGTTGCATGTGACTGGCATTGTGAGGTCTATGATAAAACAAATCTCCGAGAGAACCCTATCCAGTCCTGAAAGGGTTAATTAACGACTTTACACTTCAAACCTTGTTTAAGAGCATTGTCCGGGAACAATTGTAGCAGGCTAGCTCGCGTCCGGTTAGTGGGGGATTCGTATGCTACCATAAACCCGCGCATATGAAATTAATACTAGAAGCGACGAAAGTGACAATCACATATCTCGGTCACCGGCATTATCATAAAGTTAAAACCATTGGCGAGAAACTACCGTGCCTTTCACGTTTGCGAACAAAAACTCCAGTCTCCGCGTGGAAGCAAGCAGGTTAATAATAATTTCATTTATTTGCGAACGAATAAAGTTTTGCAAACAACACCACAGACTCACGTCGAACTTAGCTTACAATTACAGTAGCTTTTATCTTTAATAGCTCACTTAAATTCAAAATATGACGCGAATG